CTATTTACGAAGGAAGTTATGCTTTGTTCTTGATCTTCCTTAGCAATATCCCTTATGTGTAGATATGGAGTTGATCTTAGCCATGACTATTAAGTATAATTGCACTAATCATAGTATGCTTTGACTTGTAATTAAGAATGACTTAGGAATTATTTCTCTAATATCTACTTAGTCATGCTAATGCCATAGAAAGGAGTACTCTGAGTGATTAATATCATTTATCATTTATCAATCATATATCTCTTGACTTACCCCTGTTGTGAGTAGAGTAATGGTTATGGTTTATCTCTCCACCATATGTATAAGTTATCAATATATTATGTCCGCCAGTCCTTCCCTATGGTAAAAATATAAATAACGATACCAGGAATACTCCCGGGTGAAATGCTACAATAGTAAATTATCTATGCGCTTGCAGATCTCTTCATATATATTCTTTCTAGTCACAATAAAATACTTAAAGTACTTCTTAGTGCCATTCTAGAAGTGACGCTAAGGAATGTAAACAAGCATTTCTGGCATCATAGTTAGGGATGATAACCTAGCAAAAGTGATGTTAAGAAATGTCAACAAACATTAGGTGGCTATGTAAACAAGTGATATGTTAATAAATACCAACAGGGCCCCAAAGCCAATTGATGTTGGCTATTTCTTCCTAGGATGTATTTTAGTTGCTTCTGCTGATTGAGCGGCTTTTGGTGTTGATGCATTTGTTGTTGCTGCTGATTAAGATGCTAGAGCTACTACAAATGCAATAGTTGGAAAGGTGATGCTGCTACTAGAGTTGCTAATAATGCATTAGTTGGAAAGCTGCTGCTAGTTGGTTCCTGGTTGAGGTACCCCAAGTATATATTTGACTTATTCAGTTATAGATGTGGTGTGTGTACATGTTTTTTGGTAGCTTTGGTGTGTATATGTGTGTGTGTGTGTCTATGTGTGGGTATTTGTGTGTGGGGGTGCATGTGTTTTTTGGCGTTGCTGTGTGTGTGGGCGTGTGTGTGTTTGTGTGTGAGTGTGGGCGTTTGTGAGTTTGTGTGTGTGTCTATGTTTGTGTGGGTGGGTGTTTGTGGGTGTCTATGTGTGGGTGCATGTGTTTTCTGGGGTTGTTGTTTGTTTTTGTGTGTGTCTCTCTGTGTGTTTGTGTGGGTGTGGGTGTGGGTGTGTGTGGGTGTGGGTGTTTGTTTTTACTGGGAGTTGCATGACTGATTGGAGTGTTGTAGCTGCAGGCTATTTTGTTTTGGGGTACTACATGATGGTCATGTGGCCTATGGGCTGTTTTTATGTTAGGAGCAATCTATGTCTTTGAGATTTCACTAGGCCACATACATGGTAACTGGTTTGTGAATCATGATTTTTGTTTACTTTGTGAATGCAGTTACTCTATTACTGCCTAGTCACTCAACTTTGCCTTGACCTTTTTATCTGCATATATGTTGGGATGGCATTCCATCAGAATGTCTTTTGATTTGTGGAGATCAATCATGTTGCAGGTATCGCTGGTTTTTAAGTTTTGTCATTTCCAATTTTTTTGACAAGGTTGTTTTTGAGAAAATTGTTGCTCCGACAATTAAATGTCATTAGCTCTGAATGTATAAAAGTAGATGCTTTTTGTGAATTTTGTAGCTCTGGATGTGCTCATGTTTTGCTTGTTTTTTTTTGCTTCTGGTGTATGACTGCTCGTGGCATCCTTGATTTTTGCTATAGTTTTCTAGATGCTGGTCAGATGAGTAGCGGAAAAACCATGCTTTAGTTTTGTTCTTCAGCAAAGTCCTACAACTGGCTATTGTTGTAACTGGCTATTACATATTGGTTTTGTTAGCTTTTTCCAGTAGTATCCTATGACTGGCTATGCCATATCACTACTATAGAATTGATTTTGCGTGGCGTTGCACTTTAATTAACGAAGGCGGTCACAAAATCCAACCGCCTCGAAAAATATCGGACGATTAACGGAGACGGGCATTTTGATTTAAGAAGGCGGTCACTTTTGCCCGCCTCGTAAAATCGATTTACAAAGGCAGTCAAAAAATAACCGCCTCCCAAAATTGATTTATAGAGGCGGGCATTTCAAGACAACCGCCTCCAAAAATAGTCTATTTTTGGAGGCGGTTGTCTTAAGGCAACCACCTCCGTAAATTAATTTTCGAAGGCGGGCAACTATAAGGCCCGCCTCTGTTAATCGTCGTTGAGCCCAACTGGCCCATCTAGGCCCAGTAAGGATTCCTAGTATATATACCGTGAACACCAGTGAACCCTAACTCTCATCCTCTCCTCCCTCTCCCTCAGCCGTGTGACACCCCAGGTGTCAATTTCAAATTAAGCAGTGAATTAAGTCTAATCTAAACAAGTCAAAGGATGATTGTGAGCTTTAGTTTAACACCTGACAAGTGGTGATAGAGGTGGAGTCAAATTCTTTCAAATATGACCTAATTTAAACTTTTCAAAGGCAAAGACAAAACTCTTTTGTTCAAAAGTAAATTTTATTTCAAAATGTGCATGAGTAGTTTTAATCATGTCTTTTCATGTGCATCACCAAATCATGAACATATTCTGGTCACATGAAAAGTTGCATGTTGTTTTGGATCAAAAAACTTATAAGAAATGATAATTTCCGCTTTGCTTAAAAACACTTTTGTTAATTGAGTAGAAACATGTGATGTCAACTAAACCTTGCATTCATGTTCAAACAACTCTAATTTAACTCTTGAACAAAAGTTAGTTAGGGTTTATATTTGGAAAATGTGAAAAAATAGCTAAAACTCTAGTTTAAACCTTTTCATGTTGCTACTTTGGTCGATATAGAACTTTGGTTTCTATTCCAGTTTTGAGGTTTGGCCTTTAATAAAAGTTGTAGTTTAGTTTGTGTACAGCGAACTTTATTTTTGGACCCAAGCCTAAATCAGCCTCTATCCTGGTAAAACTGTGACCACAAGTTTGAACTCAGTGTTGTTTTAGCTTTCCAAAAAAATTTCTAAGTCCCTGGAAATAGAATTAAAGTTCAATATTTGGTGAATTATAAAATGATTTTTCATAAATAAAAGTTGTGAAACTTGGGTACCATTTCATGATATGAAGTTTGTACTATGATAATGTGCCTTTGGTTGTGATGTTTGAAAGTGGTTTGATCACTAATTAATTACCTAAACATAGTTAATCAAAGTTGTTTTTCAAAATCTTGAAACTGAATTCAATTTTTAGTTTCAAGTATCCTTCTTCAAAATTCAAAATCTCTCAATCTATTGATCTTTTGATGTTGGTTCTTAAAGAAAAGATGAAGATCAGAGATGGATTAGAAGCTTTGGTTATTGGATCTTGACAAGTTTCTACATGAAATTGGGATAAAATGAGAAAGGAACAGGCGCTGTCAGTTTGCTACAGTAACGTCGAGCAGCAGCGTCTCAGCTTGCTTCACCGCTGTTCGTCGCCGACCATCTGTCCCATTCGCGGCGCTTCCTCCCGCGTGGACGCGTAGCGGGCTGCGTGGCCAGCTCGATCAGCAGCTGGCGCACCTCGAAGCGTCGCCCGCGCCCCTTAAATCACCCGACGCCGGCCTCCGTCTTCCTTTTTTTCTCTCCTCTGCTTCCGCCATGAACGCCGAGCTCATTTGGCCGCCGGCTGCTTCCCCACCGCTGCTGTGCTCTCCCTCCATTTCAACAGAGCGTGGCATAGCCTTTCCCAGCTTGCGCCCCATCTCTGCGGCCGCTCCTCCGGTCACGCCTGCTGCCGGAGCGAGCCGCCGCCGTGGATCGCCGCTGCCGGCCTGCTCAGGCCGCCACCTGCACGCGGCACGGGCGTCTCGGGCTACCTCCGTCCATGACGTGGGTGCCTAAGAGCGAGGATCGCCACCACGAGGACGCCCAACCACTTCCCCGCCGCTGGCAACCGCCCCATCGGCCGAAAACGGGCCTCCCCATGCGCTTCCACTGTACCATCTTGCGAGCAGGGATCTCGCGCTCAAATAAGAAGAAAGGGAAGGGCCTAAATGTGAATAGTGCGCTACAGGATTTTTCTTTTTCTTTTATGTGTTTTCAGCTGAAATTTTAAAAATTTGTAGTAATTCACATAAAAATTGTAAAATGAAAAATGAAGATGTTTTGGAATCCTTGTGAGTATAATTATGCAGGAGATGTATAATCTTACATGTGTTAGTAGAAAAATCTTGCTCTAAATTTTTGCCTATGCTTTTTAGGGAGAAATTCATATCTACAGTTAGAGTGCTTATTTTGCTGTGAAATTTTTATGGCAGTCTATTCATGTTGATCTTGATGCATGGTAAAATTTTCAGCTTCATTGGATGCAGTGTCACTGACTTATTGATTTAACTTGTTTGATGCTGGTTTAGCTTGTGAAAATGATAAATGCAGCTATAAGTATCAAAACTTTGTGAAATTTATGCATCATGCTAGTTAGGACATATTGGAGCTGCTGTAATTTTTCTAGAATTAATACTATAATGCAAGTAGCCTTTTCCTTTTTCCTTTGTGTTTGCTAGGTAATTAAAAAAGGGGCTATTGTGTTCTTGCCCCTATTTTGAACCCTAATTGTGATTTTACCCCTATTTTCTTCCACTTTATGTTTTTATCCCTGCTTTTCCAAAACGAAGGTTCAGTTTACCCCTACTCCGTGAACAGCAGGTAACGGTGTTAAAAAAGTTAAAAGATGACGAGTTTGCCCTTCCAAATATTACGTTTTTGCCCCTATTTCAAACCCCAATTGTGATTTTACCTCCACTTTCTTCCACTTTGTGTTTTTACCCCTACTTTTCCAAAACGAAGGCTCCGTTTACCCCAATTCTTAACTCAGTTATCTACATCCAGATCAAAGCAATTAAAATTTAACAAAAGCCCTATGAACAGACAAACTTATCCCTTATCTCTCGGTCGTCTCTCTCAGGGTCGTCCCTCTCAACGCTAGCAGGCAGCGGGCGGCTGGGTGTGGCGGCGGAAGAGCAGCGTCGGGCCGTCGGGCGGGCGTGGCGAGCGGGCACGGGCGTGCACGGCTTAGCCTGACGTGGGCGCGCAGCCAGGCATGCGGCTCTGCTTGGCGCGGGCGCGTGTGGCTTGGCCGACGTCGTGAGCGCGCGTCTCGTGAAAGCAGACGACCATGGAGATCTTGTCAGTGAGAGGCGACGGATCCCTGCTCACGAACATCTTGCATATGTTCTCGAACGTCACCTGCAAGCGCATGTGTTAGTTATTCAATTTATGGCTTCAAATAAACACATTAGCATGCATCACTGTGCACCGGAATATATAGCTAATTAAGGAACATGCATGCGTACTTTCTTGATCTCAGTGGCGGCGGAGATGGTGCCCTTGTCCGCCCACGACCGCAGCGCCGCCACGAGACGCGGCTGGATGACCTCGGTGATGGCCCAGAGCGGTTGATGGTGACGAGGATGAACCCGCGGAGCCTGGCGTGCTGGCTGCCCTCGACGTTGACCACGCAGGAGAGGCCCACGAGCTCCGGCGCGGGCCAGCGGATGCCGAAGGTGCCATCCTAGGAGGACTTGAGGACGAACTTGTTGACTGCCGACGAGTGGACGAGGACGGTCGGTGAGCCAAAGAGGTGCGTCCGGTACACGCCCACGTCGCCCTCGCGGCCCCCGGCGTAGTAGCGCCTCCTCCAGGCGTGGGCGAAGCCGTCGGGGCGGCGGCGAGCTTGTAGTACCATAGCAGCCAGAGGCTCTCACCCACAAATGGGAGGCCCATGTGGCCTGGCGGGAGCCTCGCACGACGGCGCCAACGCTTCAGCGCGAAGAAGGCGTAGTGGCAGACGTCGTTGTTGTGCCACACAGCGAGCGCGAGCAGCGGAATGACGCCGAGGAGGAGGCCAATCCACCACACCCAGTCCACCGCCGTCACCTGTGCATGCATCGACATTAAGTGGACTCCATCACTCAGCACACTCCATGGTCGTCTGCTTTCACGAGACGTGCGCTCGCGACGCCGGCCAAGCCGCGCGTGCCCACGCCAAGCAAAGTCGCGTACCTGGCTGCGCGCCCACGTCAGGCTAAGCCGCGCACGCCCACGCGGCTTCCTCCGCCTAGCCACATGCGCCCGCTCACCGCGTCCGCCCGATGGCCCGACGCTGCTCTTCCGCCGCCACCGCCGCCGCACCCAGCCGCCCGCTGCCTGCTAGCGTTGAGAGGGACGACCGAGAGATAAGGGGTAAGTTTGCCTTTTCACAGGGCTTTTGTTAATTTTTAATTGCTTTGATCCGAATGTAGATAACTGGGTTAAGAATTGGGGTAAACGGAGCCTTCGTTTTGGAAAAGTAGGGGTAAAAACACAAAGTGGAAGAAAGGGGGGGTAAAATCACAATTGGGGTTTGAAATAGGGGAAACGCAATATTCGGAAGGGCAAACTCGTCATCTTTCAACTTTTTAACACCGTTACCTGTTGTTCATGAAGTAGGGGTAAACTGAACCTTTGTTTTGGAAAAGCAGAGGTAAAAACACAAAGTGGAAGAAAATGGGGGTAAAATCACAATTGGGGTTCAAAATAAGGGCAAGAATGCAATAGCCCCTTAAAAACATGTAAATAATTCATTTGGGAGTGATCCATAGTTTTTCTAGCATGTTTAGAAAGTGTGTTAACTGTTTCTATCATGATATGTGTCCAGGTCTTGTTTATAGTATGCAGTTTTCTTTTAAGTGCCTTCAATATATTGCCATGTATAACTTTTGCCTTTTTAATAAAAATGTGTGAAGATGAGTTAACATGCCTTTCATGTTAGCTATAACTAATGGTCAATTAGCTGTGTTAATAGAAGTTGTGGGCCATATGATTAGTTGTACATATGTGATCTTGTTGTTGAACCCAGTGAGGAACTTGGTTACACGTGTGCTGAGATAGCTACACGTGTAGTTTCTGTTGTGATGATGGTTTCATGATGAAAATGATATTTTCTGTGGTTATAGTCTATATAGAAGTTGTAGGTAACTTGCTGATCTTTGCTGTCCCAAAATTTCATGATTTTAGGACAACAGATTTGGGAGTTATGAATTTTACAAATTCCCTATCAGGTTTAACTTGTATGCTGGACAGATTTGAAAGGTTGTGCTTTTTAGCTTAGTTAACTATTTAATCATCTCAAGATGATCATGAGAAAGTTGTAGGCAATTTCATAAGCTTTCAAGAAAGTCGAGGAACACTTTTGTTAGATTCCTACAACTCCAGTTATGATCAAAACAAGTGACTGTTGTGCTGATGTCCAGAACTTGCCTTGCTTAAGTTGATTGCTTTAACTTGATGGTTAATATGGTTGCAAGTGTGATTCATGTATTTGATGATATTGAGTTAATCTACCTAAACCAGATGGTCACCTTGTTGTTTAATGATGGTCAACTAATTAAGCCAATATTGTATGCATGTCATTAGAAATAATGGTTGTACCCGACTTGCTAGAACCTTTATCATGGTTGGTATGACTAGCTTGCATGAGTGTCTTGGTGTTGCTTTGCTATCGTAACTTAGCAGGTTGTGTGATGTTTAGTTAATCATCATCCACCTAAGTGTATATGTTTAATCTAGTGTAACCTTGTGCTTGTTTTGTCGCCAAATTGTAATGCATCATGTATCTCTCTTTCTCCATATTCATGTATTACATCTTGCATATATCATTTAGGTACGTTAGATGCACGACGAGAAGGTGAAGAACATGGTGTTGAAACCAACCAAAAGACGATGTTGGTGAACAAGTCTAGAAGGCAAAAATGATAGTTGATCATGTCCTGAAGATGAAGCCAACTAACTAACATTGTGCTTCAAATCCAGGCAAGTCTCGAAGCATTCTAAGCCTCCTACCTCTCTTTTAAAATATACTTGAGTTTATATATTGTATTGAGCATTAAGTATAGGAGTTGAATTGAAACCCGTTGCTACATGTCTTACCTTATCTACAATATATATACCTGTATCCTTACTAGTATGTATAGGTCGCTCTATGCTTAGCTATGCTTAGACCGGTAGAAGTCGGGTGATTCATGTCGCCTGCGAGACATAGGTGGCTACTCTGACACGGTTGGCTATATTTGCTATCGTGGAAAAGAACCAGGTGATAATGGATAACTGGAGACCGGGCGAGATCTGGTGCTATTATGGTTGTTGATGTCGGCTAGGCATGTATTCTTTGATCCCGTCTGTGTCATTTAAGGACCGCTTCATTGTCAGACCTTGGTTGAGATTGAAGGTACCAAACACATAACAGGGGCCTGAGTTATAGTTGATCGTGAAGCCGGTTAGCTCATTCAGGCTGAGTATATTGGACCGCTAGCATTGCTGGGAGGAGAGCCTGAAGGAAGGGGACTAGTCCAAGACCATGTTTGCTACAGGCTTCGGGCTTCGGGCAATTTATGTGAGGATGCAGGATCATGAGTTTTGCGAAACGGTCTAGACTCACCACCGAATTGAGTGAACGGTGACCCACACGAGCTAATGTGGGCTCGTATGTGTGTGTGTTTGGGATTGCCTAGCTGGATGTAATCGATTTGAATCGCCGTCTCTCCCGGTTAGTGAGAAACTTGGTCATTGTCCGGCAGTCGTAGTAACTGATGAAACATAATGGTTCTATTGATCATGATAATTGAATATGGTTACTACTATGATACTTATTAATCAAATAATTGTTACAGGATAGATGCAAACTTAGCTATAACTAGCTTCACTGAACTTGATGCTAAAATATTAAAAGTAAGGACTTACATAGTAAGCTCTTTTGTAAAAGATTATGCTATCCAACTAGCTCCACCAAATAAACCATGCATATCCTTGGTTCATTTTTCTCCTATCGGATAAGTCTTGTTGAGTATAATTGAGTACTCAGGGTTTTATCCCACCCTGTTGCAAGTGAAGTGCTATGTCTGCTGAAGGTGGCGACTAAGTGCCGGTGGGCTCGGCTATTCTGTATTTGCTTCTCATCTATGCTTTTGTTAGAGGGTGTCATCAGAGCTAGCAATATGATTCAAAATTATGATTTGGTAATTATTACAAAGTTATGTTGTTTCAACCTAATGGATTTGAAACTGAACTTGTATTAATTACTTGTGATCCTATTGTAATATTATTTCCGCTACAAACTCTGTGTATGTGATATGTATTTGCTTAATCAGGTACGATCTTGGTTGTGAAGTTGAGGTACTCGACGGACTACCGGGTTTATATAAGTGATGGTATGCGCATAAGTGACGGTATGCGCGTGTCAACATATTTAACGGGGATAGTCATACTTAATCTTGTATAAATTGGATAGTTCTGTCACAAGCCACACAGAGCGCCTCCCCACACCGAGCGCCTCTCTCCCTCATCCTCCCTCTCCCTCTCCCTCACCTCGTCTCCCTCTCCGGCACACAGCGCGCGGCGCCTCCCTCTGCTTCTCTCTCTCGCGCACGTGGAGCACGGCGGCCGGTGGCACGACGCGCTTAGCACTGGTGCCGGCAGCACAGCGCGCGGAGGTCGGGTGCCGGCGGCGCGGCCCCTCCTCCACTCCCTGCGGTGCACGGCGGCCCTCCTCTCCCGGCGGCGGACCCCTCCCCTCTCGATCCTGGCGGCCCTCCTCCCCTCCCGGCGGCGCTCCTCCCTACGGCGGATCCGACAGTGGGCAGCTCGATCCGGTGGCGGCTGGGCGGCTCGATCCGGTAGCGGGAGGCCAAATCCGGCGGCATGCGGCTGGGCGGCTCGATCCGGTAGCGGGAGGCCAAATCCGGCGGCATGCAGCTGGATTCTGGCGGCGGGAGGCCGGATCCCGACAAGGCGCAAGGTCCAGGCACCGGCGAGCGACGGCTGCTGCGGCGGCGGCGACGGCCCGTGGATGGGCTTGGCGGGCCTGTGGATGGGCTCGGTGGGCCTGCCATGGGTTTTTCTTTTTTTTTGTTTTTCGTGTTTGATTTATGGAGGCGGGCAAAACAACCGCCTCCATAGGTCATGGACCAAAATTGTCCGCCTCCAATAATCATTCTATAGTAGTGTATTCCTCTCTCTCTCTCTCTCTCTCTCTCTCTATGTAGAATCCCAGAGGCGTAACCAGGGGGGCTAGCAGAGGCCAAGGCCCCCTATGGTCAGAATTTTTTTTTATATACTCCAGCTTCAACTATAGTAATAGTAGGTATTTTAAAGGAAAGAAACTCTTGAAGGTACTACATCCATGCATTTTCTTCCTCTTGGCCCCCACTTAGATTTTTCTCTGGTTCCGCCTCTGCAGAATCCTAGTAGATGACACCATTGATAAAGCAAAGGTCTCATTGCATTTAGATATGCTTTTTTTAGTTCTTTTTCTTCAAATTAGTTATGCTTTACGACTTCATATATGCTCCTGTTGATCTGCAGGAAAGTTCTATGCCTGATACTTCTGAGCTCTTCTCAAATGTTTACAAGAAGGCCTTCGGCGTGGAGGTAAGTTGTCAAAAAAAAAGAATTATCTTAGCTGAAGTGCATAACACCTTACTTGCATTTGCAACATCAATTTTTTTTTGTCCTAAGCAAGTTGGAGCAGGCTATGACACCCAACTTCCATTTCTCGGCCTGAAATTAGTTGCATTCTCTTAATTATGCGAAGTGACATTAGTTTCATTTCTCATATCTTGGCACTAGTGGGAGTTATTTAAGGAGTTGAACTTCTCCAGCCTGTAGTACATATCTTGTACATACGTTCAACTATTCAGATGGTAGTTTCCATGACTTAACAGTACCTTTTTTTTTCTTAGAGTATATCTCTTTTGGAACTACATCTGGGTCACAAACACTTTAGTTCCTGACATTGGCATAGTCTTGTCACAAACACTTCTATTCCTGACATGGCATAGTCTTGAATCACAACTTTAGTCATTAATTTTGATTGCAGTGTTACTATGAAAGTGCTTAATATTTCCATTATAAATCTTTGA